GTTTCTTGTACATCACTTCCAACAGACCTAATTTGATCAGCATGTCTTCTCCACAAATTGTTGTTGACTGAGACAGTGTAATTAAGTTCACCATCACGGCTTACTACTCGCCCTACCAACCATTTTTTGTTTGGATTGGCATAGTTCCTTACAGCAACCTTTTGGCCTTCTTCAAAACTTCTGCTCTTAACTTCGAACTTATCGCCTCTTGTATGTTTTTCAACAATGTCTTGAATATTAGGTCGTAGAATTTCTAAGTTTGAGCGTAACTCTCTCTTGAGAAACAGCATGGCTGGAGTTTTGACAAGTTGTTGAATTAGGCGCTCTTCGGTAGGCTAGTAGGAAGGTGTTGAGTTTCTCTTGCATTGAACCGTGACCAGGATTTTTCATAGCTCGCAGTGCCTGTTTGAAAATTTGGACATAGCGTTCAACTTGTCCGTTTGACGCTGCGTGGAAGGGTGCTCCCGTGATATGTTTAATTCCTCTTGCCTTAAGAAACTGTTGGAATTCTATGCCTGTAAAGGTTGCGGCATTATCACTTACTAGCACTTTTGGGTATCCGAAAGAGGCAAAAAGAGAGTTGAGCTTTGTAATCGTAGCTTGAGCTGTAGTTGAGTTCATTATAAAGATTTCAGGTCATTTTGAATGGGCGTCTATGACAAGCAGGAAACTGTGACCGTAAAAGGGACCCGCAAAGTCAATATGGATTCTTTCCCATGGATACGAAGGATATTCCCAAAAATGTGTATCGCTCTTTTTGGGTTCTTTCTGTATTGAAATGCACTCGGGGAAGTTCCTCGCCATAGTTTCGATATCACTGTCAATCCTAGGCCAATACAAATAGGACCTAGCTAAAGCCTTCATCTTTACGATACCCAAATGGCCTAAGTGTAGATCTTGTAGGACATCTTTGCGTAGTTTGGTTGGAATGTAAACCCTATGACAGAACAGGATACAACCTGACTGGAGTGACATAGTCCCTTCTTTCCCTTGTAAGGGCACGCCTGTTCGTAAGTTATGTAGAATCGGCCGCAACTCCTCATCCTCCGCAGTGGCCTTTGAAATTACTTCTGGAGCAAACGTTGTACTAATCTGCTTCAGTTGGAACAGGGAAATATCGTCCATTTGAAACACTTCTTGAGATTTTGTAGGGAAACGTGATAAACAGTCTGCATTACCATGCATCTCAGACTTCCTGTACTTTATGTCAAATTGGAATGATTGTAAAAAGAGTGCGTAATGCAGTAGCCTAGTAGCCTGTAGGACGGGGAGTTTGTTCCGTGAACCAAAAATGTGTATTAAGGGCTGATGGTCCGTAACTAATGTAAATTTTCGGCCATAGAGGTAATGGTAGAATTTCCGTACACCCTAATAGATTGCCAAAGCCTCCTTGTCTATCTGAGAGTAATTGCATTCGCTCCCTGTAAGCGTACGAGAACTAAAAGCAATAGGTCGTTCAGAGTTATCTGACATTTGATGGGACAACACTGCACCAAGGCCTACGGGGCTTGCATCCACAGAAAGAACTAAAGGTAAGTTGGGGTCATAATGAACCAAGATGCGATCTTGGACAATTTCTTCCTTTATAGCTTGGAAGCTATTTTCACAGTCTTTAGTCCATTTAAAAGGGACGTTTTGTCTCGTTAGGTTGTATAATGGATTGGCTAGCGTAGATAAGTTTGGGAAAAACCTTCTGTAAAAAGATACCATGCCCAAGAAAGACTTAACTTCCTTAACTGTAGTGGGGGGTTGAAAGTTAAGCACGGCTTGAACCTTTTCTTCAGTTTTTGAAATACCAGAAGCATTGATTTTGTGGCCTAAATATGTCACCTCCTCTTGAAAAAACTTGCACTTAAGTATATTAAGATGTAACCCGCAAGATTTTAGCTTTTCTAGTACTTGACGTAAAACATTTAAATGTTCTTCATCAGTCTTAGCCGTGAGAATTATGTTATCATGGACTACTGTACAATTTTGGATGCCGGCAAGCACACTCTCAATGTATTTTTGCCAAGTGGCTGGGGCCGCACTTACACCATACATAAGCCTAAGACAGCGGTACAATCCCTTGTGCGTATTGATAGTTAGAATTTCCTAAGTTTTCTCAGACACAGGCATATGTAGAAAGGCTGAAAGAATATCTAGTGTATAGTGAAATGTAAGCCAACACTGAGTTTAGAAAAGACATATTCGTATCTAGGTAGAGGATGCCCATGTAGCACAGATGGTTGGGCTAACGTTGGCCAACTGTGGAACAGTTGGTCGATGGTTGGTTGGAGCTTCCACAACCAACCAACCGTTGTCCAACTGTATATCTCGTAGTTGGGCCAACCAATATTTACAACTGTGGACCAACATTGGTTCATTGTTAATGAAATACATTAATATGCATTGCTGGGTATCATACATCAAGCCAACCATTGTCTAACCGTTTTTCACTCCGTTGGACCAACAAAAGATACTTTTGTTGGACCAACGATGGTCCATAGTTGAGTTTTACACGACTTTCATTCTCTGGATCAACTAATATTCTTTAACTTATTTGCAACAATTTAAGGGGAAAGAGTAATTAATCATATAACAGTCAATTATAATAGCATTAATAATCTAACGGTAATTAAATAATCTATATTCAAATACCAGTATCCTCTCTAACTCCCCCCCCAAAAAAATAATAACTACTTATGATGCATTTTATTAACAGAATCATATTATACTGTGTAGTATCAAAATTGTTTTAAGTATTGCGACCATTGCAACTGTCGGCTACTCTTACACCACTTGAAAACTCTCTATATCAACAATCGCAGATAGCTCAGTGGTAAGGTAAGAGGCTCATAAGTCGAAGGACCCGGGTTCAAGACCCGTCTGGGCCAAAAAATTTTGTTCTAGCTTTTTTTCAAAATTTGTTTTTATGAACTATTTAATCAATTTACTCAACTTATAATTATGCTTTTCATACTAAATCTTTAATATTTTGTGTTAAATAAAACGGTTGGTTGGATATCAGTTGTGTTATGGTTAGTTGGCCATCAGTATTTTTGGATAGTTGGGCCATTGTTGGACAATGGTTGGTTGGAAAACAGTTTAAAGAAGTGACATTTCTACCGTTGGCTAACTGTGTGGCTCCACAATTTACCAACGTTGGCCCAACCATCTGTGCTACATGGGTGTTGTGGTACTTCAATTTGTTTATTTACGGTACCAGAATAATCTGCGCAAATGCGGATAGTTTCATTCGGCTTAACAATAGGGACAATGGGTGTAGCCCATTCTGAGGTGTCGACAGGTTTTATGATCCCTTCACGCTCCAAACGAGCAAGTTCTAATTCGACTCGTTTCTGTTAAGTCAAAGGTACTACACGAGCTTTGGAAAAACACGGCACAGCATTTGGTTTCAATTTCAGATCGCACACAAAATTGTTTATGGTACCTACATTTTTGTCAAAGACTTCTTTATATTTAACTTTACTTGTAGGCACTTGTTGAATTAACTTGAGTTAACTGAATTGAGTTGTTGCTTGTAAGTACTTTAGTTGTTTTCACTGTAAGATAATCAATATGTTTTATCAATTAAGATTAATTTGACTTGACTAATGCATGTATATGTTGATCTGGCCTAATAAATGACTTATTGACTTATTATTTGGTGAGTAGCTTAGTTAGGTTAGGTTGAATCCATGCATTTGGATTCCCTGTAGAGACTTCTAGAGATTTTATAGGCCTACTAGGTTTGATGCTGCTCCAATCAAGATGGAATTGAAATAACCAATCTCGACCAAAAATGGACGAAAAGTTTTCAGAAACTATGTACAGCTTAAGCAACTTCTTTTGATTATTAACTTGTACTTCTACTGTGGCCTCACCTAGGGGCACTATAATATTATTGTTGTAACTCTTAAATTGGAAGTTAGTAGGCTGTATGCTGCGGGACGTCACAGACTGAAAATTATCTAAACTAACTACTGAGGCTGCACTTCCGGTATCTAACTCAAAAGACAAGGAAACTCCATCGATAAGTACATCGAGTAAGATTGGAGGCCTTACATCTGAGTGACAGTTTACTTGCTGGTATAAAGGCAAAGTTTCTTCCACACAAAGGTGGTGGAGCTCTTGAGGCTTTTGTTTATTTTGAATAGGCTTACTTGGGCTTGACCTACTTGTAGTTATAGGTTAGAAGCATTTTTGCGCCTAAGGCAAACCTCCTGTACATGACCAGGTTTCTTACATGAAACACAATACAAGTTTTTTGAAAAACATTCTGGAGCCTTGTGGCCCATTTAAGCACACCTCATGCATTTAACGTTAGACTGACCTGTATTAGCCCCATAAGACCTCGGTTGATTGTTGTTCTGCTTCGGCCCACTTCTATTTGAATTATAGTTAGACTTACCTCCTCTCTTGTTGAAGTCCAGTTGTAATTTATTTACTTGCTTAGAAAAAAACAGGCTTATGTAAAATTTCACTAGCCCCCAGCGTAGCACGCTCCATAGCTAAGGCTATTTCAACAGTTTTGGTAAAATCTGGATCATCCTCCTCAAATAACCTGTCTAACATTCCCCTGGACTGTAGTCCGCTAACAAACACATCTCCCCACACAGCACAAAATATCCTCAGGATATCCTGTACTAGTCCAACAACTCCTATGGAGATCCCGGGAAATATAGGATATTACTGGGATATCCTGAAATATCCCGGGATATATTCGTTATCCTCCGGATATCCACATTATAGGATATCCACGATGTTATATTGTGGATATCCAGAAAAAGTCCTAGGGATATTGTTTGGTTTTAAATTTAAAAAATATGTTTTATGCTAGACCCATTAGACTACTTTTATTTTTTCTCGGTCTGTTTGATCAAACTACGACGTTATTTTATTCGTAAATCATGTGTTAAAAAGTTCAAAAAATAACAACGGTCCCGCGGGTCACTATGCCGATCGAATGGCGTACGTGCGTACTGCACAATTTGCTATGGCCACCGCGGTTCGCGAGTCGCGACTGCATCCCTGCCCTGCCCTGAGCCCTCGAGCCTCACTCAGATTGTTCAGCCTGAAGTACTGACGGCGCAATGGCGGAAGGTTCTGTAAGGTAAGGCTATGTATCAATTACTAGGAAAGTTAATCATATTATAAGTTAACCTAATTATAATTATGGTGGTAGTAATTATTACTCATTATCTAAACCACACTAAAGAAATTGCCGACATTACATAAAATCGCATAGACCATGTCACAAGAATGGAATTGATCGGTTACGTTACAAGTTAACTTATTTGTGTAGGTTCTCAATCCTTCCCATTAAAAGTAAGTGTGTGTACGTGCTTTTAAGTTACACTTTTAAACATAAGTTAGGCCTATGTGTGAACTTTATACAATCAGTTCCAACTAGGCTAATATAACTTACACATTGGAAACTAGAAGAAATCTTACTGAGATAAAATTAACTTGGGCCTAAAAATAAATAAATGTTAGGAATTGTAACTTAACTTATGTAATCAGGGCTGCACTTCACTTTACGTCCTACACTCATCCGAATGAAAATATCGATATAAGTTATCTAGATCATTCGATAATGTATATCGATTATTTCATTCAGTTAGTTAGGTTAGGTTTTAACCTAACTAACCAAACTTAAAATATCGAATGATAATCGATAGCCTATACCGATCGATATTTTCAAACTTAAAGAGTTTATGAACCAAGGTAACCTTAGTGATCATAAGAACCCAAATTTCAATAACTTAGTTTAGGCCTAGACTAGGTAGGCCAATTCAGGCCTAGGCCTACTTATTGCAGAGGCCTTTTTATCAGAATGTGCTTCGTACCAGGGTTAGGCCTATACCATATCTAAGTAACTTAGGACTAAGTTTAAAATAGGCCTAACAGTAATTAAAAATAACTGAGATAACTTAGGCCTAAAAAATAAATAAACGTACAAGGAATTGTAACTTAACTTAGCCTATGTAATTAGAGCTGCACTTTACTTTACGTCCTACACTCATCCCAATGAAAATATCGATATATAACTTAGGCCTAGATCATTCGATATAGGTATCGATTATTTCATTGGGTTAGTTAGGTTAGGTTTTAACCTAACTAACCAAACTTGATATGTCGAATGATAATCGATAGCCTCTACCGATCGATATTTTCATTCAAATGAGTGTAGGACATAAAGTAAAGTGCAGCCTTAATTAGTCCAAGACTGCTTTTATAAATGGGCCCAGGCCCAGGGGTGCAAGAGCTGTCCGGTGGTTTAGGTGGAGAGGGGGGCAATAAGCTTAGTCTCTCGGCTTAACTTATAGCTTGGCCTAAATGGTTTTGGTCTCACTTTCATAAGTGGGGCCAAACAGAACAAAATGAAAACATAAGGTAGCGGTAATTTGCCAAATAACTTAACTTACCGTGACTCGCCCAAATACCATGATTCTTGTTTTTCTCGCCAATAACAAAAATATTGCTGGTGAAAGACGTTTAAACTTAGGCTATAAAAAGTAAATTCAACTTTTGGAGTTTAACTTAAGTTAATGAAATTTAAGTTATAACTAAATTTAAAAGTTCAAAAAGGCCAATATATAATCAATTGTTTTAATCACAAGCGCTTTCGGAAACTAGGTTTCCATCGTCAGGCTGTGTTTAAACTGGTACAAAAAGTAAAATTGTATTTTTAATACTGTAGGCCCAATTATATATGTCTATTAGGCATTTCTAGGTTGTGTTTGGAAATCTAAACAAATCGGTAATCTGAACTACCTACTAATTGGTTCGGACTTTTGACGCTCTACTGTAACTTAACTTATAATTTTATTTGGTTAGTTATGAGTTAACCTAACTATCGAAACTTGATACATTGAATGAAATAATCGATATATTGACTGATATAACTTATTCATTCGATTGTTTTTGGCCCCACTTAACTTATGGAAGTCTACCCTGAGGTAGCAAACTTAACTGAAATAGCATGAACTTAACTTACCTAAGTTAAATATCTTGTATTTCTCAGTCTATGACAAAGCGATGTAAATAAATTTGACTATTTAGGCTAGTTGAATTTTTAAAAAGGCTAGCCTATAAGCCTTTGTAAAGTAGGAAACAAAAAAATTTCATCAACGGTTTTGAAAGATTTTGCCTAATTTTAAAATAGGCTACACTAAGTTAACTAGGCCTAAGTACTGTTCCGTAGAGTACCGTACCTATGATAAATTATCGGATTAAATTATGATCAGTTTGATAAATTATGAAAATTGCATTGGATAACTTAAGTTCTCACAACTTACAATGATTTATGTTGGATTGCATCATTACATCAATGTACATTAAACTTTTCCTTAATAACAATAACGTGATGATGAAAAGTAATTAAGTTAATTCTAGTACCGTTTTCATAATCTAAGGCTTAGCCTACCTTACGATCTTGGATTTATTTTGGAGACCTAGGTTTCTACGCCGGAGCGTTATCGTCAGTCCTAGGCTAAGCTAATCTTTTAGAAGTTTAAACACATTAAATCAATTGGATCGTAAGGTTAACCTTAGATTATTACAATGTTTAATAACGATCTAGAGGTTATTTATCCAAATTTAGTACCGTATTATTAAGTAGGTTGTGAAAGGAAAAATCGAAGATGTAGGTGGGTCGTAAAACCAAAAGGTTTGGGAACCGGTGACTTAGTAAACTATTTTGTTTTTTATAATGTTTATAGCTTATGGTATTTCTAATTTTAGGACAACAACTTTTACATAAAGAGATAAAGGGAAGACCTAAAAAATGTCAAAAAGGAAATTATGTACTTATTCATCACGTCACATCCGCAGACTGGTTGATAGAGAGCAGAATTATTCAGAACAAGAGATTTCATCGGATGAAGAGATTGTAAATAGTTTTTTTAGCCAGCACACAACCAATATTGTTCCAAATGATAACTCAACACTTCAATCATCTACTCAAACACAACCCTTGTCCTCCACTTCATCACCCAGCTTTCTAACAGACATATATGGTTCATCATATTCTGACACAGATTCACTTGAAGATGGTTCAGATTGTTTTTCTTCTTCCAATTCTACTTTGTCAAGCACAATGACCAATGATGACCACAATGAATCAAATATCTTTTCAAATGATTCCTCAGTTAAAAATCCATGTAATACTTCTGTGGACATAGATGAAAGTAAACTAGCAAACTGGGCTCTTACCAACAACATCACCCACACAGCCTTGGGTTCTTTGCTTGAACTTTTAAAGACACATCCTTGTCATGCAAACCTTCCAAATGATGCAAGAACTATTCTCAAAACACCTCGTAGCTCTATTGTTAAAAGTGTACCTCCTGGCTCCTATTACCATTTTGGAATTAAAAGCGAAGTCTGTAAATATTTAGGTGGGTCCAATTTTCAAATTGATAATTTCAAAGGTATTGAACTGGCCATTAATATTGATGGTCTGCCCATATCAAAATCATCTAATAGTGCGTTGTGGCCCATATTAGGTTCTTTATTTGAATCAAAAGATGTATTTATGATTGGTCTGTATTTTGGTACATCCAAACCGTCAGATTGTTCGGTTTACTTGGAGGATTTCGTCAAGGAGTGTATTGACCTCACAACAAATTGCTTCAAATTTAACAATAAAATGTATAAATTCTCGCTTAAAGTAATTACATGTGATGCACCAGCAAAATCACTAGTTTTATGTACAAAAAGTCATGGTGGCTACTCCAGTTGTCCTAAATGTACTGTAGTTGGTGAGTACAAGGAGAAAAGAGTATGTTTTCCTTTGATTGATGGTAATTTGAGGTCAGATGATGATTTCCTACAACACAGAGATGAGGACTACCATATGGGTAAAAGCCCTTTAGAAGTTATCCCTGGCGTAAGGCTTGTGACAAATGTGCCATTTGATTATATGCATGTTGTATGTTTGGGAGTAATGAGGAAGTTAATAAGACTTTGGTTGAAAGGGCCGCTATCTGTGAGGATTGGTAATGCTTCTGAAGCCATAATTTCTAATCAATTGACAGAACTTGCTAACATATCTGTCCCCAAAGAGTTTGTTCGGAAGCCAAGACCCTTAAATCAAGTAGCACACTGGAAAGCAACAGAGTATAGACAGTTCTTATTATACTCTGGACCTGTTGTCCTTAAACAAGCTCTAAGGAAAGAGTTATACAATCATTTTCTTGCTTTGCATGTAGCAGTAAGAATACTGTGCTGTCCGATATTATTGAACCAGTTAGCTGATTATGCCAGGGAGTTAATGAAATATTTTGTCAAATGCTTCTCTCTTTTGTATGGAGAGTGTTATGTGTCCCATAACATCCATGCGCTACTCCACCTACCAGACGATTGCATAAACTTTGGGGTTCTAGATCAATTCAGTGCCTTTAAGTTTGAAAACTTTTTGCAATTACTGAAGGGAAAACTGCGCAAATCTGAAAGACCACTTCAACAAATCATACGGAGGTATCATGAAATGCAACACAATAATGTTAGCAAACCATCAAAAACGACAAATACTTTTGAAATTATCTTTACATCACAACATAACAATGGGCCACTTCCAGCTAATTGTGAGTCCCCACAGTACTCTGCTATTCAGTATAAAAATATGTATTTGAGTAGCAAAAGTGAAGCCGATAATGTTTGTGGCATTCAAGGAGGGAGGATAGTGAAAATAAAAAATATTGCAATCTGTTCTATAAATAAAACTCCAGTAATCATTGGTAATGAATATGCATCAAAAAAAGACTTATTCTCCAAACCGTGCAGTTCCTCATTACTTAATACATTTGTCATTGGCGACGAAAAGAACATTAATATCTGGCCTCTCAGTAAAGTAAATTGTAAATATATGAGAATTCCAATGGGTTCTGCTAAATATGCTGCAGTGCCTTTGCTCCACAGAGATTGAATTAAAGTTTAAGACTTTATGAATGTAATGGAAGACGATTATGGATGTAGACTACATGAAACTGCGCTGTAAGTTTTTCTAATTGCAATACCTGTAAATTAATTATTGAATTTGGTCTCTTTGAGCAACACAGAAAGAGTTGTTTAAAGGCTTGATAATATATAAGGCCTAGTACAGCATCTTTTCTCACGGTTCAAATTTCATCACCAATCAGGCCTATATACAAAAACTTTCTCCTTTCGATCCCTAGGCTAGGCCTACTTAGCCTAACTTATAAGTTAATCTGATGATCGTACCTACCCCAAGTAGGCTAAGTTAAGTTAGTTCGATTTTCAAAGGTACACAAAAATATGAACTAAGTTAGCTTGGTCTAGGCCTACCCTCTGTAAGTTTCCATTAGGCTTAGCGGGTAGACTTCCGTAAGTTATCTGTTGGCACAAACAACCGAATGAAAATATTCGATTGATTCATTCGATATAACTTATCGTTTGGTTAGTTAGGTGAAGGATATACTTATCGATCGTTATTTTCATTCGGTTGTTTGTGCCAACAGAGGCCTACTGTACGGAAGTCTAAGCTACCTGGCTTAGCCTAACTTAGATGCCTGTTAAGCCTGAAGTAATGTTAAAAACAATTCCGGGATCGTGCATAGCGTCCTAGGGGGGAAAATATTCATTGCTCAGAAAGAATTTCATAATAATTAAGTAAGTTATATTCAAGGGAGTTTATTTCCAACTGCTCGTTTTATCTTCTTTGTTAATAAACATCAGCCTATTTTTTAATTTTTATAACTGTTTAGGTTGGCTGAAAACTGTTCTCCATTGTACGCAGTAGTGGAGTTTGATGATGGTGTACAATTAGTTCCAACAAAATGGATAGTAGATGACACATGTTACTGGCCTAACTTTACTAACCAGTACAGATATGACAAAGCTGTTGCATCCAATATAGATTACGAAGAATCTTGGCGCAACTTTCCTGTAAGGAAAATTGTTATGTATGCAGGTAAACATTATTACTATTATAACATTCAAATAATACTTAATTTCCAAGTGCAGGTAAATTATGTAAGTACTACACCTTAAACCCCCTTATGTGGCACAGTCACAGTGGGGGGTCACTTTCACTGATGGGTACCTTTGTACACTAAGGACCCTGTCATACGGAGCGCTAGCGCCAGCGGGACGCATTTGCCGTGTGAGCACTGTCAGAACAACTGGAACACCTTTAAAGTGATCATTACGATATTTGATACGATGTTTGATACGGAAAAAACTATTTATTTAGTTAAAAAACTGCCAACTATGTACAATGTAAAGTCGAGTGATTACAGCAACAGGCAACTGAAGGCACAGTGCTGGAACGAGGTTGGGGAGGCCATGCACGAAAACTGGAATCAGATGACAGTTGTCTTGGATTCTTCTGATAATACTCTTCATATGTATCTAAAATGTGCAAAACGCTGATACAACCTAACTGGATGGTGTCCATCTTGGTAATAACATAATTGCCGCGACGGCAAATGCGCCCGGAAGACGCTACGTATGACAGGCACCTAACAAGTTGACTCATTTGACACAGGACTATATATCTAAAACTATAATTATAAAAGTTTACAAGGCAATTTTTAGATATATATATTAATCTTGTTTCTTTATGAAGACTAAATCTGCAACCATCTAACATGAATTTGATTTAAAAGTTAAGGAGTAATATGGATATGAGACTTTTTTCAATATAAATGTTTTCCTAACTGACTCTTAACTTAAGGAAACCTCCTCGTTTTATGTTAATATAAATCTTTCCAGAGATGAAGTACATCTTTGCATATATGAAGTTTAAAACAAAAATAACTGACATGGGTTTATGATTTCAGATGACTATGTGAAGGGTAAAAGAAAACTAAAAGAAGCTGAACTATATTCTGATGTTAATTCTGACTATGATAGCTCTGCAAAAAAAAAAATCCGACGACAAAGAGCCAGAAAAATTATTGACTCTGAGTCAGAGGATGAAATCTACAGTAAGCCAAATCAACAGTATAAACAGCATACCGGCACATCAGCATTGCCGAAACCCCCAGCCCCCCCAGCAGAACCAAATTTGGGTGAGTGAGATCATTTTGAATATTAATTTCAATGTAATTAGGTGATTAGTCTTAGCACTGCATTCAGAATGTAAGAGACCATTTCAGTTCATTATCAAATCTGAATTTTGTACCATGTTACTTTGTTTGTTATGTTGTACAATGCTAATAGTTAATACTAAAGCTGTTTTTAGTGAACACAACTTCTCCCACATTTCTTAAACAGTTTAAATTTTTTGGGTTTCATGGCTTGCACTACTAAACTGTACTAGGTCTACTATATTTTTCATCTGCAGCAATAGTTATTTGTGTAACTAGTGGGCAAAGGTCTTTTGCACTCGTGTTACACATTATATTTTTCCTGCAGTCACTAAAAAGCATATAAATAATTAGTCTTTCAAACACTATACAAGGTTTTAGGTTCAGCTGGCAACACAAATAGGTGCCCTAGAGAAAATAGTACCCGGTCCAAATCACTCCGCTATTTTTTCCTCGGCAAGAAATGTGCCCCGCGACTGAGAAAATAGTTCCGTATGTTTTTGTAATTTGAAGTGGTTTCCGCGCCTAAAAAAATGCTTTAAAGGTAATTTCTTGTTTATTAAGATCGTAGGAATGTTTTAAAAACGTTTAAAAGAAAAGTCCAGAAAGTTCAGAAATACCAAAACTATAAACACAAAATGAAAGGTTAAATCGTAGTTATAATAGTCAATCAGCTGCTTATGGTATTATTATCTTTAAGTGTTGCCAATCTATTTCCAAGCGTACACGGATTACGTGCATAATAGAACCACACTGTTTTGTGTTGTTTCGTTGGAATCCTGATGTGCGGCAAAGTATAAACCGTACGACAAAGTATAAATATGCAGCAATTAGCAGCTTTCTGTACTATAAACGGTACAAGAAAGCCAACTTTGTCGGGTGACTGTAGGAAAAAGTACTTTACAGTCACAAATTCTGCTACACAACACAATTTCTGGTTTCAGAAACTACTTCTGCGAGACCACCTCAGAGAATTGCTGTGCAACAAGACAAACCAGGTAGGCCTATGCATAGTTTACGTTGTACCTGTACTTCTGAAAATTGTTAGCTACATAGCTAACAATTTTCCCCATTTCCCCAGCTCCTTCCCCATTTCTTGTACCATTTTAAGTCTTTGCGTTTCATGTTGGCCTTTGCTTGTAGGTTTGCATTGGTGTGTCACTATTTTAATATTTTCTTTTAGAATGCATAAACAAATTAAAATAGGCCTTAGCTTTTGATCCATAACATTAACATTGACTGTTGTTTGATTGCTGTTTGATTTATATGGTTTATTAGAGACATCCAGCTGTTATTTCGAGATGAGCATGACACATACAGCTCTTTGGCTATTAACAGTGAGGTCCCTTTGACAGACCGAATTTCATTGTTAGTTGACTGTGTACATAATCTGAGGTTGGAGTAAAGTAGTTTGCACAAAACCATGGCCTTAGGCTAGGTTAATAATAATAGAAAATCTGCTGTTGTGCACACATCTTGTATGTTTAAACATTTGTATAAACATTATTTAAAAATTTATATGCATATCTCGCTTGATTTGCACTACTACTCTATTATTTCTCATCCGCAGTAAATAGTTATTTTTGTCTTAAGGTTGAAAAGAATTGCTTTGTCAGCAATGTCAGCCTGAAAGAAAGTTTTGTTGCTCGAGCCTACACGGGCGGCAATTTTTTGAGGGCTGACAATGAATATTTCTGCCTGTAAGACGCACATAATTTTTTTTCCCCCAACTAATACGTATTTGAGTACACATTTTACTATGGAGCAAGGCTACACACACCTCTTGAACTGAATAATTCTGGAAACTTGTTGTTTCACATCATCTGTGACTATATCCACAGTATTAACATATTAATTAACTATAAAACATGGTCCGAGAGGGTGGCAAAGTATTTAAATGGGGAACTTACCGCCCTCATTTAGCGGGTGGGAAGTTAATCCAATGATTTCAAATAGAAACTTCCCGCTTGTAAAATTACTAGCCGGAATAACCCTGCTTCCTCCTTTATTTGAGGACAAAAATGTAGGTTATGCTTTAAATAGAGGTTGGAGTAAAAGTACTTTTCAGTCACAAATTTTGTTACACAATTTCATGTTTCAGAAAATACTTTTGCAAGAACACCTGACAGAAACTACCTCAGCCCATGTAACACTCCTGTGCGTCAAGACAAATCAGGTATGAATAGTTGAGGTTAATATCCATAAAGCCCATGAACTTTTGAGAAAACTAAAAGTCAAACCCCCATAAACCAACCATATACTTAAAATGTTCGTAATGACGAGAAACCTTAGAGGTTAACTGTAAGAAAGGAGGTGAGGTCCTAAGTTCGCCTCAATAAAGAAGGATTTTCATTTCATTTCATTTCAAACCTTGTCTAAAACTATCCATTATTTCATAAATTGCCATTCAAGGTCATAATCCCTTTCTAAAGGGAACTTTAGAAGCCAATCGGGGTGAAGCCCGTGGGTAACAGCTAGTTTAACTGTAACGAGCAGTCCAATGGTTTTCTGAAACAAGTTAAGTTCCTATCAATTGCTCTCTTTTAACAGGTGTTCATTATTTATTAAATTTTGTTGGTTAGTAGTTTGGCCTACTGGAAACACTACCATATTTGTGTAATTGTGTCCTTATTACTTACAAAACTCCCCATTAAATTGTATGAAGCTTGCTGTTTAATGGGTAGCTTAAATGACAATATTAATGGTATATGCCAATTATTAGTGGTGTATGCCAATTTTTCCCACAGCCTCTTCTTTTTCTTATCTTACAATTAAAAAACTGTTAATATTTTTGGTCTTTTTTAGAGTTTGAAGCCTATGTGAAAAAATCACTCATGGGCATGAAGATAAAAATGAACGCATTCCTTCACACACAACATGACATGATTCAGACACAGCAGAACATACTCCAGACACTGGGTAAACTACAACGTAATCAAACAGTGACTGAAGATGATAATGAGGAGGCTACGCCAAATAATGATTTTGATTTAAATTTGTTGCCTCTTGCAAGTATGGAGGACTTACAACAATTTGAGGAAAAACTTAAAAATGAAAAGTACAGAAAGTATGTGGTAAGTGTGCATTAATTCATTCAATAAGTTTAAGAAATTCTCTTTCAGCAACAGGTTTTTTACTCTTGCAAGAAAGTAGATTTGCTCAAATGTTTGCAAATAAATGCTATTGCAAAAGATTTTATCTGTTATTTGCTTACAATTTTTAAAATGTAAAAATGCAATGTTTAACATTTTATTATTGCATTGATATTTCTTCTAAATTATAAATATTTAAAATAATGTCATGACACATAAACGGGAAGAATGGCATCATTGGGAAGGAAACTGTATTAATTTATTCCTCACTTGTTACTAACCTACGTTGTTGTATACTTATTTACCCATTTTTTAATGTTGAAAACAGGTCAAGGAAATGAGAAAAATCGGAGGCCAAGACGTGAAGGCAGCAACATACAGATTACTACCAAGACTAATGTCAAATGAAGTTGGAGCAAAGTTTTCATGGATCGGAGCGAAAAAAAAACAAGTATTCTCTAATCTGGAAACCTGCAGACTTCTGCTCGGTAAACTATTCTGTTCTCTCTTATGTATTTATCGTTTTTTTACTGACACGGCTTTTGTAGTAGCCTACATAAGGAGGTGCAAGATGAATATCAAGATGTTTGAATATTCAAAGAATTAACCAAATACTGCGTTCGATATTCTATTCGTTTATTTTGAAGTATCCAAATAATGTAGAGCACATTGAATTTGGGCAATCAACAAAACAAATTTGATAACACAATTATACATGACCCACTAGGTGGTAATTGTTTTTGTTAATTGTAGCATTTGCAATTTTCTTCAAATCCAATTGATATATTTCTTTGATATTTCGGTTTCGTTTACATGTCAAATTGTAGTTTTCAGGGGAAAATTTATCATTGCCTGGTGACGTTTATCCGACCATCATAACTGTAACGGCATTTTATATTTTATTAATTTATTGTCTTCTTTTCAGATGTAGTAAGACTGCATTTTCCTACATCCACAGATGTTGATATTTCTATACCAACCAAGAACTGGCTGCGTCATGCAAGAGACAGGATGAGCCGCTCTACGTAAGTGTAGGATGAACTTATTATTTTATTACTTTACCCAGGTAGTTTAGCTTAACTACCTGGCTGCTAGTTAAATAAGATTACCATTTCTTCATTTTAAAACAAGGTAATAAATATACAGTAGAACCTCACTAATTTCAATATTTAAACATTTTAACTTTAAAATAATTAATTATGAACTGTAACACTCCTAAATATCTTGCAGAAATTTTGCTCAGTCTATTGCTAATTATGTTTGCAAAAATGTTGGTTGTTTTTTATACATTTTTACTAACTCATTTATTGATATGCTCTCCAGTACAAGCTTTGCAATTGAGATAAGATTTGAAATGTTACAGGTTAAAAGATGTCCAAGAAGTGGACCAAGATCCTTCCCTCATGGAGGCTGCTTGAAACCCGTCGGACCATTATACACGGGGTTTAGACGCGGAATGTACACGGTGGAGCTTGGTTTAATATTTGGAGCTATCCAACTCCCTCAATTAATTTTGGATTAAGTTATTCTAAATTTTTGTTTATTCAGTATTCACATAATGTAGAAATATAGCTTACTTAAACTTACAGTAGAACCTCTTTAATCCGAACTTATTGGGACCCGGGGTAGCTCGGACTATTGAATAGTCCGTATTACAGATCATATTGTTTTTTTTTTACATTACAGTGGCTAAAATGGATAGTAATCTTTATGGGAAAAGTGAAAAATGCTCTATAAAGTAAAATGCAATGCTTATTAAATACAGTAATAAACACAGTGAATAGACAGAACTGTACATTACAACCGAAACAATTACGGTGCTTATATAAATACAATGAAAAACTACTCTACTGTACTGTATATAGAGTACATTAATGAGGCGTGCGGATTAAAGGATGTTCGGACTATGGGGGTTTGGATTAAAGAGGTTCACAAGAGGAATATATTGCAATATTTATTTTTTTATGGAACAAATTCTGGTTGGTGTATGGTGATTATTGTTTGTATTTACGAAACGGGATTTCAGCGTCAGGGCAACACGCTTGACAGGGACCATTGCGTTTTAATTGGGGTGTAATTACTTCTAATTTATGGTAATAAAATAAATTCACTAACAGTAAACACCATTTATAATTTAAATAAAAATACTTGTGACTAAAGGAACAAAACATTTATAACATATGAAAACAAATGTAATGCTACATTCATAATCAAACATCACACCGCACACAAATAACCCCAAAAGAGACTTTTTTCTTACTCTTCTTGAGACATTAGAAGAGTAATTAGATAAGATAGGCCTACTTATAATTTTTATGAGGATTTTCTTTTTTTTTATGGTTGAAACAAAATTGTTTGATGTAGTTACTTACAGTCGACAGCCCCATGACATTGATAATCAACAGCCTCATATACATTCCACAAACCACATGGTAGTCAGCAATCTGATTCATCCCAAGCCTTTTATTCTTTATAAAATTCTGAACTAACAACTACTGTGCCCTTTTCTGACAACATAAGTGAAAACGAAAACTACTCTTTAGATACCTTCTATAGGCCTAGACGTATGTTCTTCTCCAAGCCCTATTGAAAATTTACCTGATTGCTTCGATTTACCTATAGATCAACCTTTGAATAGTGGTCAACCTCAACGTAGCTTCCAGTTAGTTGGAGTTCTTAGTTCTTAATTCTTAGTCTTAGTTGGAGTTAGTTGGAGTTCTTGACGACTTCAGCGCCTTTAAGTTTGAAAATTTCCTGCAGTCAATCTCCACTTACTACTACGTACATCCGCGTCGTGAACTCCTCTCGTGTAGACACACCAATTAAACACAATGCTCCCTGTCGTGCGTGTGGCCCTGACACTAAATCCCGTCGTGGGTTTCACGCTCATGTGAAACCAACCTTAAACTTAAAATCTTGTTCTTTGGGATTCATCATGTGTCCCATAAGTTTCATAGACCGTTACATATCTAACAAGTTTTTTATATTCAAGTCTTCTGTACTCATTTTGTATACATTTTTCTCATGTGAGTAAGTTTTATGTCTTATCTTTCGATTCAATGAAATACCAAGCCAAGTTCTTTTCCCTTAACATGTTTTTTTTTATTATTTATAAGACGAAATAAGACATTTATTAGTCATCCTGCAAAGTTACAAAATTTGCAATAGATATCATATAATTCATGATTTACATATATATACTTGCAACATCAAATTGAGCTACACATCACAGAACATTCATGGAATGTTTAAAACCTAAAATTATGCTAGACCTGATGACTCAATTTAAAAATTCAAGGTATAAATAGATTCAATTGTATGTAGCCAATTATACATTATATTGTGAAATAATCTCTGAGGAAACAGCTGAAAAGTCAATGGTAACTTGTTAAGATGGGAACTTGTATATTGGAACAGTGTAATTCAATATTTAGCCTATTGTTTAAGACTTTTTGTGTTGGAAATAAATAATTTAAAATGTATTTTCATTTCATTTCATTTCCATAACTCTAGTATTTTGATTTAAATTTTACTTATATATTTAATATATTTTATGATAAACTTAATTAATGATAAACTTAATATTTTATAAAAAAATAAAAAATGGCCACCATTTTACAATTTGTATGGCAAATAAATATATGGTTTTATTCCATTAATTATAAGTTAAATACAATACGCTTTGCTGAATTTACAAGTTTTTCACTAAGCCATTCCAGATGTATTAATTATAAAAATAAAAAAGACTAGTTTTATAGGTGGAAATGTGGAACCTTCCTGAAGGATTTTGGAAAATATCTTCTTAGGTTCTACATACACTTTATAATCCGGCCCACCAGATTTAATTTTAGAGAACAATAAAGAATGGCAATTTTCATCTGTCGCCATGCTGGTAATTTCTTGTTTTAAATTGAACTTTTTATCTTGTTAGAAAGGTGTTGTAAAACTTATCTAAAGCTATGTGATATACAGGGAGAGCTCTTCTGGAAACTATGGGACCTTAGTTTATTGAAGTAAGAAACATCTACTGTATATAGGGCTACAAATATCTTCCTTCAATAATATATGGTGCAATAAGGAAGCTCCCTGAATATTTCATAGGGCATCTTAAGGATGTTCTGAAGATAAAATTTTGAATCCCAGGGATGTCCCATGGTTATCCCTTAGGATATTCTGTGTGACCTTACCTACAGATTTCATCTTTATATCACGAGTCCTGGGGATGTCTCTGAGATCTCCCACCATAAACCATCAGATATTGCAGCTTAAGCCTAGGACAGCCCCAGAAAGTCCTATGGATATCTAATGGGATGTCACTAGGGTTTCCCACAATAAACCTTAGGATATCCTATCTTGAGCCTGAGATATCCTGGGATATCCCGATTGGACATCCCTGGGACGTTACAGGGCCCGGACATAACAATATTATATGGATATCCTATGGATATCATGGGACTAAATAAGGATCATCCCGGGATATCCTGAATATCCTGTCGCAATATCCCTTGGTCGTCCTGGGGATGAAGTTGTGCTGTGTGGGTCTAAGCATAGTGTTGAGCATAGTGCTAGAGTACTGGCATGGTACCACCAATTTTCTAAGTTCAGCTACATACTGACTAATGGTCTCCCCTTCTAACTGTTTCCTGTTAAGGAAAGCATGCCTACTTGGTATGATTAGTGGTTTCGGATTTAAATGAGCCCTCAAAAGTTCAGTTAGCTCATTGAACGTTTTTTCTTTGTATGTAGTAGGGTAAAGCAAGTTCTTTAACAGAGAATGCAACTTAGGGCTAAGCACTGTAATTAGTGTATTGACCTTCTTGGAATCTGGCAC